CCCTTGTTCATGTCGATCTGGCAACCTGCCAGCGCTTCAAGGCGTACAACAAGACTGGTTCAGCTTTCACCTGATAATTCATCTGAAGTCGCTGAATGAAAGAACGATACTTTCTCAAAGTACACGGCAACGAAGCTTCAGAATTACTGTGATTGAGTTTGATATTTGGAAACCTACCATTCATAGTTTCAGTTAACACTGACACACCTTGCCTTGCACAAAGTCGGAAAACTTGTTTCATTCTCAGGGACATTCAATGTATTTGGATTACATTCCGCGCTAGTAGGGCCTACCTCCTAATATTCATGAAGCTCATATAAAGTGTAAATAAAGACAAACTTAACATGGGCCACGTAATGTAATCAGTCTTGCTTGAGGACGTTTTATCATGTACCTTTTTTCTCTCTTCACGCAAAATCTACAAACACAGCGATTCCTTCGTTGCGCTGGTGAATTATTTAATTTTTTTTTTCGGATGTGAAAGTTTCATCGGTCATGTTCCGAGTGGCAATAGCAGGGGGAGAGGGCTATTATGTCATTAAGTGTAGGCCGTTTCCTGTTTGAAGAAGTATGTAGTGTCAATATGCATTTCGTAGAAACAGCAAAAGCTTTTCCTATGCATTTTAAGCAGAATTTCTTAATTTTTCCTAGACCTGCGGCAACATCCACCCTTCTTTGTCAACTTGCTGGTCGAAGTGTTACCAGAGAGGACAATTTACTAAACGCCATGACAGTTTGTATTAAAACTACCTACAGGTTTCCAGGGTAGGAACGTTTATGTTAAGCATATTTTTCGCTTTAGTTATAAACAGTCCTGTGCTTTACTTTTGTAGTTCACACTGGAACACAGCAGAACCAGCCAGAAAAAGTGCATCGTTAGCCAGCTCTCGCTAGACAGCCAGGCGTTGTTACTCAATTACGCTCGTGACTTACGTCTGCTGTGTTCCATTGTATGGAGAACAATTGAACAACAAAAATGAGACATGAAACATTTTAGTTTTCGTTATTGGTGTTTGTTTTATGTGTACGTTTGTAGGTCGATGCCAACGTCCTGGGCTGCTTTTGTTTCTCCCGAAACGTCGATACCTACATATAAGTCCAGTCGGCGTTTTGTCCACAAAACTAACACAGACAAGCTAAGTAGTCGGTCACTGCGTTACTTACCCTACTGAAGATGTTAATAAGATGATGCAGTATTATAAAAATGTACTCGGGTCACACAAAATACATCGGCCTGCCGCGGGTTCAGAACCCCTGATAACTAAGATGTAAATGCCGAAAAGTCGTTCTTGTCCCATCACGGGCCAATTAGGAATGTAAATGTGAGGTTAAACTTTGGTTATTACAGTTTCGAAACATTCTATAATTTCATGATCCTTATTGTTAAAATTTATTAGATGATATGAAAGCCCAAATTTGTTTACTCTATTTTGATTTGCTTTTCATTTCGTGTGTTGTCGAGTCAGGCTACCGTTTTATGTCAACTTGCACATTAATTTTTATGATCGATGCGTTGAGTACATTATCTCTTTTTTTAACTTTGTTACGAGAAACGTACACTCACGCAGCAAATTAACCACAGGTTAGCAATTTTTGGGAAGACGCCAACCCAAAAGCAATCTTTTGACCGTCGTTTCCATGTATGATTTGAGGTTTTCACAGAGGTGAGTATGAAGATTTCTGTCTTCTGGGTTTTTGCGATGATCGCCCTGATGATGGAGGCAATATGGCCTCTGAAAAGTTGGTAAACATCTACCAGACTACACGGCGCAACAACCCAGAAGACAGAAATCTTCATACTCATCGCCCTGATGATGGAGGCAGTATG